TATATATATATATATATAGACCTTTTTAGCATATATGTGCAACATATACTACAAAAGATGTGTCTTTAGGAAATGAATTATTTTACACTCAACATCCAGAGCCAAGAGTGTCATTCAATGTCCACGCACATACCTTGAAAACAGTTAAGGTACATACAGTCCAATCAAGAAAGAATGCAAAATGAACCCAAGCCTTATCTTGAAAGGAGTGCTCCTTTCATTTCTGCCAGGTGCTTGGGGGCACTACTCACAACCAGTTGAAAAATATCTTTCACTAGACAATTTCTTTTATTATTTATATCAGAGTTACCACATATTCCCAATAGCTATGTGCTCAGAAGCTTCAAGGCACTGCGCTAAACACAAGGAGGACAAAGTCCCTGATTCGAATTCCCAGAGTACTGGGAGAACCATGCTGAGAAACAACATCAAAATAGGGAACAATGAACAGTGTTAGCACCTCAATAACTAAATAGCATGATGTATACTTCTATACAAGTTCAGAAAAAAAAAACAAAAACAAAGCATTATCAAAAAGAACGTTATGGAGTATGTGGAACACCTGCTGATGAAGAGTATGACATCAACGTAGAACAGACAACTATAAGGAAGAAATCAAATCAATTCTCACTAGTCTAAATATGACCTGTTTAATGAAAGCCATAGAAGACAAGAACATCACCAGGGACCTGCAAGTAGCCAAAGGAGCTTCTCTTCTCCCATCACAAGGACTTGGTTTTCAACTGAGCATCTTCTCCCTGCCACGTATATCAACCCACAAAATAGAGTCCATCTATCCACAGGTCATGCTAGGAGAGAAAAGGATGATGTTGGCAGGAAGCTAGCTACTTGGGAAATGTTTATCAAGCTGGCATTAGCTATCCCTGATCAGGTATACTTTCTTCTCTATAAGAAACTTCAGTGAAAACAAAATAAATTACCTAGCAATGTATTCAAAAAAGCAATACCTTATGCTACTTCTACCACCACCAAAGCAGTATTTTTCTGGAAGGGAGGGGTTAGAAACTGAAAAAGTGAAAAGTGGAGGCAATTCTATAGTAGTCAAGATAAAAGGCACTGTGGACACATCTCAGTGGTTTAAGGAGCACTTGCTGTTCTTCAAGAGTAGTCAAGGTCAGTTTCCAGCACCCACATCTGGCAACTCACAACGACCTGCAACTCCAACTTCAAGGGATCCAGCACCCTCTTCTAGCTTCCAAGGACACCTGCACCTCTATGGCATTCACACACACACACACACACACAAAAAATAAAAAATAAAACTTGCCAAGGGTAATGGAGCATGTCTTTAACTCCAGAACTAGAGAGGCAGAGCCAGGCAGATTGTTGAGAGTTCCAGGCCAGCCCGGTATACATAGTATTTTCTAGGCCAGCCAGGGCTACATAGTGAGACCCTGTCTCAAAAAGAAAAGAAGAAATGAAAAAAGAAACTTTACAAGGAGGCCGGTGGGGAGACAGTTGAAAAACTTCAAGTGGCTACACAGAAAAAGCAATGCAGTTTAAGAAGCAGTTGCAATGATTCATGCCTGAGATCATTCATGCAGTAACCCCTTATATCCTGTATCTGCAACTCTGTTCCTTCAATTGGAAAAGAGATGTCCACTTAGACTGCAACAATCCACAGGCAGTGTCTCTCCTATGGTTTAAACAAGATGAAATAATGTTTATTCTACTAAAGGAATATATGTTCTAGGCATTCAATACACAAACTGAATTTACTTCAAGACAGAAACATTATACAGTGGGTTGACTGGCGCTCTTTACTGGGAAAGCACTATGTTTTAGGTAATTATGAATCAGACAAAATAGGCTTTAAAGGCTAAAAACTTGAGTAGGTGTTCTGTTATTTGTTTAGGAAAATGAATTCACAGCTATGTGCCCACATTTAGATCACACTTCTTTAGGAAAGCCTAATGCAACAGGGCAGTGTGTTTGATAATAACACAAACAGAAGACAAAAGGGAGGCAGGAGGCCTTTTACAAAACATTATACAGTGGGTTGACTGGCGCTCTTTACTGGGAAAGCACTATGTTTTAGGTAATTATGAATCAGACAAAATAGGCTTTAAAGGCTAAAAACTTGAGTAGGTGTTCTGTTATTTGTTTAGGAAAATGAATTCACAGCTATGTGCCCACATTTAGATCACACTTCTTTAGGAAAGCCTAATGCAACAGGGCAGTGTGTTTGATAATAACACAAACAGAAGACAAAAGGGAGGCAGGAGGCCTTTTACAAAACATTATACAGTGGGTTGACTGGCGCTCTTTACTGGGAAAGCACTATGTTTTAGGTAATTATGAATCAGACAAAATAGGCTTTAAAGGCTAAAAACTTGAGTAGGTGTTCTGTTATTTGTTTAGGAAAATGAATTCACAGCTATGTGCCCACATTTAGATCACACTTCTTTAGGAAAGCCTAATGCAACAGGGCAGTGTGTTTGATAATAACACAAACAGAAGACAAAAGGGAGGCAGGAGGCCTTTTACAAAACAATGATCCAGCCTAAATTCCCAGATCTGTTTTGCGAAGGATTTTTCTTCCATTTCCTTCTCAAGTAAACCAATCCCAATGCCAGACTATTCTGAATAGCTTTATCTAAAAACAGCAAGCAGGACCTCTGCGATGCTGTCTCAGTGTTCTTGCTAACACCCTTGTTTTAAAAAGCTCCAAGCAGGGTACGGTGGCACATGCCTTTAATTCCAGCACTTGCAGGGCAGAGGGAAGTAGAGCTTACAAAATGGAGGCCAGCCTGGTCTACATGGCGAGTTTCAGGCCAGCTGGGACTACAAGGAGATCCTGTCTGAAAAAATAAATAAATAAAAATAGATAACTAAAGCTCCAGATAGTTTAGGTTCCTGCGGGCCCCAGTACCACTCTGGGTCAGGAATACGGCCTGGCATGCCAGGCCCAGCCTCCTACCGCGACTACAGAGCCTTAACCGGGCCCTGGGGGCGAAAGGACCAGGCCCGGGACGTCCCGGGTCGACAGGGCAGGACTCACCAGCAAGTCGCTGCGCGTCTCCAGACGCAGGTGAGGCTTCCGCCGCTTGAAGACGCGCTTGAGGAAGCCGCGGGGCGCCTTGCGCTTTACGTGCTTCTTCTGGGCGACTGTGGTGGAGAACGCCATCGCGGTGGTCCTCACCCAGAGGTACTCTAGGAGAAGCACACTGGACCAGGTTCCAGAGAGGCTGGGACGAAGGTTTGAAAACGCCGCCAGGCAGCTCGGCGCACGGCAGTGACGTCACCCGCGCCTCCGGAAGCGCCTGGCGGTGGGAAATCGCCGCCCTCAGCGACTGATTTATCGCCAAGAGGCCCTAACCGTCTTTAATCTCTCGTTATTCATAGTTGCTCTTGGTTCCCCAGAGGGCCTGGGAAATGGTGAGATTAGTCGGTGAGCCTAATGAGATAGCCTCACTTGTCCTCCAAACTCAATCTAAGTAGCCTGATGCCAACGGACTAAAGTGGATGAAAAGTCTGTTTTGTCAGGATTCCTTAGATATTAATAATGCCTGCGTAGCCCAGCCTGATTTTCTGATTTTAACAGCAGTTTTCACTTTTACATAACTGCACTTGGTTTTACATTCACATTTTTCATGTCTTTGGATTGCCTTCAGGAATACCTCACTCTTTGTTAAGGCTCCTTTTGCTTTCCCCTAACTCTAGTTTAACTGCTTTTTCTTTGAGGCCTTGGTTACTTCAGCAAGCAGTTCTCCATCATCTGGCTTCTCTACAAGTAACTCGAACTTCTGTCTAGATCAAAATTCATCTCTCTAGTGGGTCTTGTTAAAACACCTTGGGAAATGGAGAGGGAGTGGCAGGGCATTTGGGGGGGTGGGAGGAGTGAAAATGATGTGAATATAGGCTCAGGTATGGAAATTTATTTTACCCAGAAAATTTATAAAAAATAATTTAGCGAAGTGTCACTGTTTAATTTTTTGGAAAAGCAGAAGAGACTTTTTATTTTGTCTGACTAGTTCCCTATCTTCCTAGTGCCAGAATCCTTTTTTTACTGTGGGGAACACTTAGTTCTTGACCTTAATGGCTTAGCAGTTCTCTGGAAATCCTCCAGTCAGAAGGCTTGCAGTTCCTATTCTCTGACTCTTTACAGCCTTTGTCCTTCAGCCTCAGTTCTTTGTCCTCTCCACTTCCACCACCCAAGCTGTTCACGCTTTGGGCACTCCTCAAACTGTTCAGCTACCTTGTCTTCAGTTGTGTAGCTGACCAGCTTACCAGTTGTGCAGTAGCTCATGCAACACTGTTCCCGCTCCTCTGCTGCCTCTGCCGTCACTGTCTTTCTTTGTATAACCAGATCTGACCACACTACTCAAGAAAAACTCCTATTTATTGGGCATAATTTTGTGACAGCAAGTGAGCCAGCACAGGAAAATACCTCCAAGCCAGCCAGTATGTTTATATAGCCAGAGAAGGGGTATCTGCACCATTCACAGCACACATTGCATGTAACTGGAGATTTGCTGATGCCAGCCTGACTGGCAGTTTGCCTAAGAATCCTTTCCTTCTGTATAGACATGGCAACAAGGAAGAGTCCAGCAGCTACCAAACAGAAAATCCAGGACAGCTTTTCTTATTTACAGGAAAGTGAACATAAGGAGGGTGTGATAGCTAATCCTGGGTCTCAACTTGACTGGATCTGGGATTAACTGAAATGAGAGAGATCTTAATTGGATCATCTGAAGCTAACCTAAATGTGGGTGTTAACCTTCTGATAGCAGCCCATATAAAAGACCATGGCAGAGGAGAACGTTTTTGCTTTTTGCCACTTGCCTTCTCTCTCCCTGGTGAGTTCGTCTTGCTGCTGTAGACTGAAGACTAGCCCATCCTTTGGAATTCATCAGACCTTCAGCGTCAGATTAGGACTACTGAGACATCAGCCTCATGGACTGAGTGACTACAGATTCTCAGCCTCTCCAGTGTGGTGCATCCATTGTTGGACTACTCGGGCTCTCTGCTGTGAGCTAAGCTGATAAATCTCTATACATGTATATTCATTCTACCAGTTCTGTTTCTTTGGAGAACCCTGACTAATCCAAAGGGCTTATAATGAAAACTTATCTTTAACACAATGGTGATTTTAGCAGATTTTTAAAATTTTATTTTATGTGTTTGAGTGCACTGCCTGCATGTGTGTAAGTGCACTCTTCTTGTCCAGTGCCCATGGAGGTCAGAAGAGGTTGTCGGATTCCCTGGAACTGGAGTTATGGGTGGTTGTTAGTTACCATGTGGGTGCTGGGAATCAAACCAAAGTCCTCTGCAAGAGCAGTCAGTGCTCTTAACTGCTGATCCATCTCTCCAGGCTGATTTTTAAACTGATTTTCACAATATATGACACCTCAATGCCGCAGAAAGAGGTGAGTCCCCTTCATCTGTCTCATGAAGACCACCCCTTGAAATAAAGATTTTATTTACCTCAGCAGTAATATTGTCATTTAAATAGTGAGTGGAAGAAACATCTATTTGGCCTCCAACTTGCAGTATCTTCTCTTTGCCAGGGATCTTGTCTTACACCCTATGAGTCACTCATGCCAATGATCAGACATGAAGTCTTGCCATAACCAAGTATTTTTCATGTTCTCTTCAAAAAAATTTAAATTACATTTATTTATTGCGTACAGAGCAGGGAAAGTTCGTCTGTCAGTCAGAGAACAACCTGTAGGAATTGATTCTTTCTTTCCACTATGTGGGTCCACGAGATCCAATGTAGGTTGTCAGCCTTGACTGCAAGTGCTGTTACCTGCTGAGTCATCTCACCGGCCACCAGTTATTTTTTATGTATCCTTGATGCAGTCATCTCATTGTTCAACCACATCTTCTAGCTTTTGAGCTTCTTGCAGTACCCCAATTCCAGGACCAGTGCTCCTCTTTTTCCTGTCCTCCCCATGCCCAGTCTCTGAGTTATCTTCCTTTCTGCAGTCCATTGTGTGGCATTACAATACCCCTTGCATTTCTCAGCACCCCAGGCATGCACTTATTTTTCCTTATCTAGAAAACCCTAATGCGCCTAAGCTAATTCTCAATCCATCCTAAACCTTTGTCTGTGTACCAATACCTACTTAAGAAAACTAAATACTCAATTCTGTCCCATCTTGATTTTAACTGATGGCTATTTGAGTGGGCTTTACCTACTCTAGCAAGTATTTGATATTTTTCTGTTCATTGGGATCTCATCTAACTTCTCCACACTTCATACTCTACCCCCATCCTCAGTTGATGACATTTCTTCATGAACAAAATTGAAGCAACCCTTAGGGGCTCTCTATACACTTTCACTACCTCATCTACCACCAAACCTTCATGTGTTCCCACTAAAATCCCAGCAACTCGTTATTTGGCTCAGCACTCTGTCTTTCAAAAAACATATTTATCTGAGAGTTCTCTCCAGTCTTCTGCTCTAAGAAATTTCTTCTTTTCTGGAATGATTTTCCATTTGCTCATGTCCACATGGGTTATATTTGCAATCTTTAAGAAAAACCCTCACTTGGCCTTCTTTTTCAACCATTACCCTTTACAGAAAAACTGGAAACAGTTGGCTAAAGTCAGTGTTGCTAATTGCTTTTCATCCATTTCCACCTGTAACTAGTGCAATCAGTATTTTGTACTCTCTCAATGAAAATTATTTTGATTAGAACAACCAATTCTCAGTTCTCAACTCCAGCTTGACCAACTAGAAGTGATTGCTGGACTATATGGTTCTTTCTAGGAAAACTAACCAGCATGTATGTACAAATATCTCTGTGGTGTGTTGACTTAGAGTCCTTTGGGTATGTAGCCAAGAGTGATATAACTGAGTTATGTGGTAGTTCTAGTTCATTTGAATTTTTTTGAAAAGTTAAATATTATGATTATTGGTGTGGGGGGTGTGTATGAATAGGGGCATGCATGTGCCATGGTGTGTGTGTGGAGGTCAGAGGACAACTATCAGAAGGCAATTCTCTCCTCCCACTGTGGGTACTGGGGCTCTTTCTCAGGTCTTGGCTTGTATAATAAGTGCTTTTGCTTTCTGAACCATCTTGCCCTTCTATTTTCCTTTCTCCTCCTCCTCATTTTTTGGAGGAAATTCCATGCTGATTTAGTGGTTCCACAAGTTTACATTCCCACCATCAATGAATAAGATTTCCTCTTTTTCCATATTCTTACCAGCATCTTGTCATTTGTTTTCTAGATGATAGCCATTCTGACAGGGTTAAGACGGAATCTCAAGTTTGAATTTGCATTTCCCTGATAGCTAAGGATATTGAAATTTTTTCAAGTGTTTATTAACTCTTCTATTTTATTTTGATAACTGATTATTTGGTTCATTAGCTCATCTGTTGATTGGATGATTTTATTAATTTCAGATTTGACTTTATTTATCTCTTCCTCTCTACTCTTTTTAGGTGTTATTTGTTCTTGATTGTAGAAGGCATTCTGGTGCATGATAATTTATATAAGATGTTTCTAATTTTCTGGTTTAGGCACTTAATGCTCCAACTTTGCCTCTTAAGACTACCTTCATTGTGTGCCATAGATTTTGGTACATTATTTTCATTTTCATTTAATACTAGGAGTTTTTTAATTTCCTTCTTGATTTCTCACTTGACCCATGTTGTTTACCTTCCATGAGTTTGCATGTTTTTTTCACATTTTTATTGTTGTTGATATCTTACTTTATTCCTTTGTGTTCAGATAGAATACAGGCTAGTATTTCTATTTGTGTATGTACATATTCAGGTGTGTTTACAGGTATGTGCAGAGGCCAGAGGTTGATATTGAGTTTCTTCCTCATTCTCTCTCTACTTTCTTTTTTGAAACTGTTATCTCACTGAACCTGGAGTTCACCAATTGGAAGAACTGGCTGGCCATCAAGCTTCAGTGATCCTTCTGTCTCCTCCTCCCCAGCACTGGAATTATAGACACACACCATTTTTCCTGGCTTTTTACGTGGGTATTGAGATCTAAACTCAGGTCTTCCTGATGGCAAGCACTTTACCAACCGAGACATCCCTCCAGCCCCTAAAACATTATAAAGTTCTGGTGACTGCTAGTCTCTTTTTTATTTTTTTTTAGGAGAGAAACAATTGTTTTATGTAGATATTCATTATGCTGTTGGAATTAAGAACCAGACATATGTAATAAATACCCAGGTATAAATTCTGAAATGCCCTTTCTGCTCTGGGAAAGCAGTCATGAAGTAAGCATGTAAGCAAGCAGGCTTCTGTGTACCACACTAGCCAAATCAGCTTTCTCTGATGTC